CCTTTCAAATATGCCTTAAGATATTGATAAGATCTACTTGGAAAGATCCATAAATTCTAAAAAAACATTTTCCCTCCTTAGCACAGATGTGGGCAGTAAGCRCATAGGTAGTACAAAGGGTTTGATCTGTTCAGGCAATGTGTAAGATACACAGTTATGTTTTGAAGGTTGTTTCCATAGCTCTAGATAAAAATAATGGCACAGGCTGTTTTCAAAATAAATACTGTAACAATTAAACTAGGCACACAGTCATTCTTCCTGATCTAATTAGGATGTTCATAAGAAACTATTCTAGCACATGCTTTTTTTCTAAACTATGCTTTCTGTGAATCATACTTGAATCCTTCACCTGACAAGACGAAGAGCTCAATGAGATAACTGTATTTTCCTTCTAGCTGCAGAATCACACTGCACAGCTATCAAAACAAGTTCCCTCAAGGATACTTTCTTCTGCTGGCCACAATTCAGATGCCGGAAGGATTTTTCTAGGCAAGTTATACAACGACCAAATAAGTTGCACCCATGTATCCCACCTAAATTCAGAACTGCAGATGAAGAAGATTTAAGACTTCTGTTTTCACTGAGCACTGCCAGAAAACCATTGCCATGACTTCTATACCACTGCCACAAGCTTTTGTCACAGGTTATAGATATTCGGTGAAAACTGTCAAACCAGCAAACTCAATTTACAACTTTTGAAAGAAGGGCCATGTCCAGAGCATAAGTGATATATACGAGACATAATCTGAAGGATTTAAGACAATATATTATATGTGGAGTATACAGAATAGTGAAAATTAAGGAAGAATAGTAAGCATGTTGAGGGGCAAACATGAGAACCTGAATTTTAATTTCATTTTCAAAATGAACATAAACATATGTTTAAAGAAATTCCATAAAATACTCAGAACATATTTGCAACACTAGGCCAAACAGAAAACGAAAATTTAAAATAGTTTGAAAAAACAACATAATAGCCAGGTAAAAAAAAATCCCACTCAAAAAGTGAGTTCTGCACCCAATGACCCAGTACCATGCTGCCAGTTACTTACTTACTACATAAAAAAAAAGAAGTCTTCAAATTTCCTCAGAGGCTATCAGCATAAACCCAGAAGAATGAATGTTAATTACTTATCCTAAAAATATTAATTATTTTTAGTAAAAGTAATTTTCAAGAAGTCACAGGAATTAGTGCCTTGGGAAATTAATTCCTCCTTTCACATATAAGAATACACATAGATAGATAGATATATGGCACAAACAGCACAGACTGCTTCAGCTCTGCTGTATTGCTGAGAGTATCTAATCAGTTTTGTAATTCATTATTGAACTGCTCCAGTGAYTGTATGTAGCAATGAATTCTGCAGTTTGCCTATATGCTGCATAGCCCAGTACTTTCTSTTGCTGAAGTTTTATGTAAGCTTGTGCTCTTTGATTAAAGAAAAGAAAGGAGGTAGGAAAGAAGGAACGAAGAGAAAACAAGGATGGAAATTCCCAGGCAATACTTTGGAAAATTTTACAAATTTGGACAAATGTAATTAATTGATGCAATAACCATCACAACTTCTTTGATCAGTGTGAATAATTGATAACAACAATTTTTAAAAACCAGACAAATTGCAGCATTGCCAGAACTGAGGCAATGAGTTACATTCATTGTTTGAAAATACAAATGTCTACCCTGATTCTAAGCTGTGGAATTTTAAAATCAGGCACGAGTAAAAGGACCAGGCATAAGCAGACCCATTCAAACCAAACCCTCCAATATTTTTAACAAAGAYGAAAAAAATTGCAGAATTTGCTGCATTCGCAAAGATAAGCAAATCCAGGTTCTGATGGACAACATTGTCTATTCTCCACAGAGCTTTCCAAAACTGGGAATCTCTCACAGATAATTAATGGTCTGCCAGCTGCTTCTTCATACTTCATTTGCAGAGTTCAAATGTGTGAATCTCTGTGGAGTTTGGCTTGGCAGTACATCAGAGAGAGAAAAGCGATTTTTCAAGCAACTACACTCAGCTCTACACAACTGTGTTCAAACAGAGTGAAGCTCTTGTAAACCAAACAGTTTGGTGATAAAAAGGTTTATCTCTGTAGGATAATTTATTTTAATCTGTTATCTTCTGCAAATCCTGCAGTACTGTTATCTTTTTAATATCTTCCATAAGGCTAGATGCAGAATRTAAAAATGAGTGGATCTAAAATCACATTTTAAACCAGGAAGGTTTTAGAACAGACTCATCCTGGGTGCAAATCTGACTCATGGTTTCTCAAAACTTGGGCAACAGCCAGCCTAAGATACATCATGCAGGCTGTCAGTCAGCAGCAGCGCAGCCTCTTGGGGATCCACAAGTTCATCCCTGTACTGACTCCTGCTTCATGTATTCCGGCACCCACCAGCAGTGTGCACAGCTACAGAACCAGCATCCCTCACTGCCCTCTCCTTCTCTCACCAGCTATCTTGGGGAACAAGGAAGTGCCATGCAACACAGAATCCTATTTTATCAGATTGTTGGGGACTGGTGGGGGCTAGGGCTGTCTTTTTATGAAAATTCTCCCTTAAGGTCATTCAAATATGAGTCTGTGTAAAGGCACAGTGGGAAAGGCCATCAGTACATACTAGCAGGTCATGTTACTTTTACCTCAAGCCTATTTTTTTTTCTGTCTACTACAATATAATTTCATAGTTTTTCAATGTGCCTGAGAGAATACATACAGAATATGGCAAGGACTTGGCTGATATGTTTGTCCAAGAGTGAGAGGGTCCCCTTGGGGGCTGCTAGGCAAGACCTCACCAGCCAGGGCCAATCCCACCATCCCAGACAGAATGGGGGCACTGGGGGCAGCTGGGCTGGCACGCCTGCTCACCCTTCACAGCCAGGATGAGCAGGACCCACGGCTGGATGGAGGCCACTGAACTATCTGTCCTTGGTGTGTAGGCTGGTAGGGCACAAGGCAATTCTGTAAGTCCCTATTTGCTCAATGCCTCCCCTCAGCTAAGAACGATTATCATTGCCATTCTGAACTCCTGAAGGACCATTTTCCCCTGCTGCGCTTTAGCACACAAGTTTCTGAATTAACAATGGAGAAACATTCTTGCTCTTGCAGTGATGCTGTCATTCTAGTTTTTTCATTACAATCCAACTTCTTAAGTGTAGGGCTGTAGGAAATTCTGATGTTTACTCATTCATTAGAAGTTTCACACGTCATATTTTCAAAATAAGCTTTGGGATCACAATCCCTAAAGGCTCAAATAAGAAAAGTTAAACATATTCTTTAAAAGAAATAATTCCTCTGCATTGTTTTTCTGGATGGGTAACTAGAGTCTGACATTGCACAAATTCATATGCACTGATTTTGACATCTAACTGAGTCTATAAGAAATACAGCATTTTCAAGGTGAAGAGCCCCCCAAGCCAGCAGATGTTGCCAGTTGCTATGCAGAGCCTGCAGTGCCTCCATTGCCAGCCTTCAGCAGGACAGACCAGGCTCCCTGTGTGGCAGTCTGAGAGGTTCAGCTCCTTCYGAGAGTGCACATACACCTCAGTGCTGTAGAGGAACCTTCAAAGCTGGACTGACCGCACACAGTGTCCTCAGCACCCCGTGCTCCGGGATACTGTGGCTGAGCAGCTGGAATGCTGAGTTCAAACTTGGAGCCAGGCAAACACATGGAGCTGCTCCCTGCACTAACCTGAGATCATGAGCTCTCTGGGACTGAGGGTACGACATGCAGACAGCCATGACCGTCACCTCTCCACTTGCAGACCTCTTCCTCTCACTCTAGTTAAGGCCAACACCATGCCCTCTTCAAGCAGAGCAACTGATTAACTTCTGAGTAACACTATAGACAAAGTTCATGATGGAAACTGCAGTCCACACTAAGGGACTCAGTTGCTGAAGGATCMGTTCCATGACATCTGTCCTATGTGATGATGTACATGATGATGTCAAGGCTTGGAGATACCATCTTCAAGCAAAGACATTGGCATATTGGCCAACTCTTAGAGCAGAATGTGCCTACATCCCCCTAAGCCCCTTAAGTACTCGAACAAGCGAATACAGTTTTGGACCTTTGTGGATACTCCKGTTGTTAAGTTTCAATTAGTTTTGTGAATGTCATTCTGTTGCCTTGATTTTAGAGCGTCGCTTTCACAGTGGCACTGCTGATACTCACTACAGTTTGTTTTCTTTGGGGATGATTTTTAATCGGACGGTCACAATTTGCTCAGAGGACGTTAGTCTGCGGCCGGGCCCCAGGTACCGGCACACGGCGGAGGGAGTGTGTGGCCCGGGGTCCGGGATAGCACCTGGCGGTGCCGGTGCCGGTGCCGGTGCCGGTGC